AATCCATGATGAATGATTCACTCAGCTTTCTTATTCAGAGTTGCATATATTTATCCTTATTCACGCGGAGATGGAGAACTCATGGAATTACATACAGGCTCATATGCATATAAATGAGGAAGCCCAGCGAGGGCTCCATATCCCAGCAATTCATCCATGTGCTCTGTCGGGGTAAGGAAGGGAAGGGGCCTGTGTTGCCCTCCCTCCTGGCAAGGAACAGTGATAAGGAGAAGGGTTCCAAAGCCAGCCTGTCCTGGTGTCCGATGTGCTCCTTGCTGCCTGCGGGAGAGCTGACACCGATGTCCCCAGCCCTCAGCTGCCTCCACACAGCTCCCCTGCACTGAGGCTTTCCTCCCTTTTGCAGGTTTTTACCGGAATCCTGTCTCTGGTTTCAGTGGTGTGGTCCCAGCCTCCTGGCAACAGCAGCAAATGTCTCCTGCGGGGCAGAAGGACAAACCCCTGCTGGCCCTTTTCAGCACGGGGCCATGGCAGGAGGCAGGAGATGGATTTCTACCTGCTAGGCAGGTCTTTTTCTTCTAAAATTTCTTTGCAGGAGAAAAGAACCAAGTGGAAAATTTTCATTAGAAATAGGACTTTTAAAAAGCAGTTAAAAGAAAATTATGCTGTTCTGTCACATTTCTGTGGCCTACGGAGAGAGGATTGAAATGGCCTCTCCCAGGAGGAGTCTCATCCTTAAATTTCTGATGGATTGTTTAGTAGTTTCCAGCTCACGGACTGTAAATGTGTAATTTGCCTCCAGCTCTACCTCTCCAGCTGTGCTGATATGGTTACCCCTTTCTCTGGTTTCATCTTTGGTCCCAAGATAATAAATATCTCAAAGATGCACTCTGAGAGAGTGTTTCAATGTCTGCAAAATAATTTTGTGACCCTCAGATGAAACCTGAACTATGTCAGTATTATGAACAGTGGGAGTTACACTGTTAAAAATGAATGCAAATATTCTCCTTTAAGGCTAAAAGTCAGACCTGCCTTAAACTGGATTTTAGATCGTGTATCCAGGTAGTGTTATAAATAACATATGTTCAATAGATCAAAGGGCTCTGCAAATAGTGATATTTCATACCATAGGTGTCAGAGTTTGATTATTTGGAGGCCTGTCTGTTTCAGTATTCTCAGTGTGACCCTCTTTTTGAGTGCTTCAGATTTGACCTGCTTCTCACCTTTGCTCAGCTGAGCACTTTTACCAGGAGTCTGGGAACCTGGATTCATGGCAATGCTGTGGCATCCAGGACGCTCCCTTGGCTGAATAATGAATAATGTGCAGAAAGGAGCTGGTGACAACAGAGAGACATAACTCTATGTAAGGATGAGCATGAACTCGGCTGATGCTGTAAATCAGATGCAGACCAGAATTTTCCTCCTGCCTCACCTCTTCACAACGGTTTCCCTTGCAAAATGGACTGGGATCCAAACCACTGGGAAATCCCAGGTGTTTAGTGCTGCATCCAGCTTAGCTCTGGGTACCAATAAGTGCCATGGCCCAGGCAGAGTGCCTGTTTCGGGGGCAACCTCCCAGTGAGAGGGGGTAAGCTTGCATTTAAAATGCAATAGAAAGAAGGAAGTTCTTTCCTCATGGAGTGGGAGGGCTGTGTGATCTAACGGCGGGTATAACCCTAAGAAACTTAATTTATTCAAGCTCTCTTCTTAATAAAATCCATCCCACGCAGCTGGGCAAAGGAGACCATGCCGTGTTCACAGGGAACACACCGTGCACACCAAAAAGCTTCTCTGTTGAGTTGGTTTTATCTCCCTCTCAGTGCCTGAAAGTGCAGCTAGTGATCTAAAGCAGCAAAGGAGTTATACCCGCAGAAGTGAAAGCAGCAAATTCCACTGCAGAGTGACTGTGATTCAGTCCTGATGAATCACTCAGCCACCTTTTTTCTCAACTAGATCTTTGGATTTATCATTGTTACAGATGGAAAAAAGGAAGAGGGGGGAAAAAAAAGAGAAGAAAAACCCCACTGCTTTATCTCCCTCTTTAATCCTTTCTAATTTTTCTTTCTCAAAATTTAATTACATTTTTTTAGGCATCCCATTCAGGTTGAATAAACCTTTGATAATCCTGGAGGGGAATCTGCATTAAAGGGAGCAGGGATGGAATATGACCAAAAGTGATGACAGCACTGGGGTTTAGCATGACCTGTTCTCAGGTTCAGAACACCCAGCAGTGGAAGGGCCTGGAACTCAGGACTGCAGAGGTGCAGTGCCAGGCAACCTCACTGTGCTCAGGCACTGCCCAATCTTGGGGATATTTATGCAAAAGGGTCCCTTTTGTTCCAGCTTCTGCCTTGGCTCTCGATCCACCCAGACCACGTTGCAGACAGCAGCAACACTCTGCTGCTCTAGGTTTTGCCTGGATGGAGACATGGCTCTGCTTACATCTTGTACTTGTGGTGTACAATATTGGCAATACAGACACCTCAAAGGGTCAGGAGGGAGTAACTGGGTGGGACCTGATGCTGGTGCAATGGGTGGGCACAGGCCGGGGTTGCTGCCCTGTCTTCCAGCAGGACATGGCCAGAGCCCTGCCAGCACAGTGTGGTTTACCCCTGGGGCTGGGGAGGTGAGTACCTAAGATGTCAAGACCCTCCTCCAACTGCAAGTTTGGAATCTGCCTCCTGGTATCCAGGTTGCAAGAGTGTATTTCTCCAAGACTGCTGTGAGCACAGCAAAGCTGGGGCAGGGGGTCACTGCAGTCCCAGCAGGAAGGGGATACTCAGTTCTCTTTTCTGTCACTCTCAAACATGACAGATGCAGGTGAGCAGCTTTAATCCTGACCCACAGTGCTGCTGGTCCTCAATCCAGTGAAGCATTTAAACACCTGACAGGAAAGCACATAAACCCATTTGACTTCAGTTCACCCACTCATGCAAACTGCAGGATGTGCTTGGCTTAGGGCTCCACACTCTGGTGTTTCCCCTTTTGTGCCATGAGACTCAGTAGCTGCTGCTGGAGATCCCGACTGAGAACACCCATGAAGGTGAGTGGCTGCTCTGAAGACTCAAATCTTGTCAGAAAGAGCTACAACTGCTTGCTCCATGAAGAGACATCAGGCCACCTATATATAAATTCAGCATTAAAGCTGGAGGATATACTTATGAGTAGATAATACTAGTGTCTGCTATTAGTAGATACCAATAATGTCCAGAAAGCTCACAGTAATATGGAGGAGAAAATGAAGGCAAAACACAATTGTTTCAGGAATCCTTTAACTGCCAGTTTTAAAATGACCCATCTCAGCTCCACCCAGACCAGCTTCATCCCCTTTGTCCTCTGTTGTGCAAGTCTGAGAAATTCCAAACTATGGCAAGGTGTTTCTTCATGGATTTGATATGTTTTACTTTTTCTTAATGTTATTCTTTCTCCATCTTTCAGTTACTATAGTGATGGACAAACACATGAGCAAACACGAGGCCTGGCAGCCTGGGAGGGTGTGTTTGCCTGCAATGGCTGAAAATACCACCAATTTTTTGATAAATCCGCTGAAAAATCTTTGCCCAAAGCCCACCGATCTTCGAAAAATGGGTCCTATCAAACAAGTTGATAATAAGATGTGTTTAATATACTTTTCTTTTTTGGAAACTTGATAAACTTCATGTATTTTGTCAGCAAGCAACATATATTGCAGTTCTGTGAGTGCTCTCATTTCTCCTCCATCTACACACCATTGGAGATGTCCCTTTTCCAGGTGCAAGGACCTTGGTTGTGGTTAAAGGGGATGGAACGAATAGCTACAAACCAAATTACTTCTCTTGTGTGTACTCTGGATCACCCTGTTCCACTGCAGTTCTGCTCTGAAAAATCCCAGCCTGAAGATCTCACAGTGACATCCCTCAGAGTGACCCCCAAAGCCCCAGAGGTGTTGTATGAGTGCAGAAATCTGCCTGAATCCATGCCATGGAACTCAACAGACTCAGCCTCTTGGAGTCAAATCTGCCCACATTTGCAACCAGAAGCTCCATCAGGATGGAGAGGCCAAGCTGAAGAGCTTTGCCCTGTGCGTTGGGTTTCAGTTTGTGATTTACTCATCCCTGCAGTGGCTTTTGGGCACAGCATGGAGCCCAAACAGTGACAGAGAGGGAGGGAGGACCCAAGGCTCACGTGGACCTGGAGGTACTGGTGATCAAGGGAATCCAGCAAGACCCTGGAGCTGAAGCTGACTCTGAGTGCTGGGGGTTGGAAAAATATCCCTGCATTTCCAAAAGCAGGGCTGGTCAGAAACCCTCCCTGCAGCTTTGAGTATCAGGCCTCATGTTTACATGGGATGTTCACAGGCACTTTCCAAAGGAGAAATGGCACAAAGGCACTGTAGTTTGACACCCCAGATCCCCAAAATGCAGGTCTAGAAGTGAAAGGTGAGCATACCTGGAGATGGAGCTGCTCAGATCCCCCATTTATACTCAGTCTAATATTGCAATGGGTATTTACAAACTCTAGATAATGAGCTGGTTGTAGTGTCCTCCTCTGCCAAGACTGAGGTTTGTTAGGGGTCTCAGGGCCAGATTTCAGCTGCCAAAGCTCTAATAGTGTCAAAGGGGCTGGGCTGACACTGCAAGTGAAAAAGCACTTGCGGTATGTTTGGAAATATTGCCAATGTTGTTTGTTTGTTTGTTTATTTTTGAGAAATACATTGAAAGAACTTTGCCAAAACCCCCTCAGGTCTTTAAAAATTGGTCCTATCAAACAAGTTGATAACAAGATGGGCTTGCTCCACTTCCCTTGTGCACACGAGCAAAACCGCAGATCCCTGAAGTTGCTTTGAAAGCGGGAGAGCAAACCGTCAGTATTTGCCGGGGTGAAGGAAGATGTGCCCTACACACAGCGCTCACATGAAACCTGGGGGACACGGGCCGGGGGAGAAGCGAAGGGATTCGGCTGCCGGGGGGACGGACCCGACTTTCCCCAGGCGGGGCGGGCAGGGGGCCGGGCATCCCCCTCTCTCCGCGCGGGGCGGGCCGGGGGCGGGCGCTGCCCGCGGCCGCGGAGCGCCGGGGCGGGAGCGCAGCCCCGCACCTGGGCACGGCACCGCCACAGCCCCGCACCTGGGCAGCGCTCACCTGAGCCCCGCACCCGGGCAGGATTCACCTCGGCTCCGCACCCGGGCAGGAACCATCACAGCCCCGCACCCGGGCAGGACCCGGCGCAGCCCCGCGGGCGGACAGCGCGGACCCCGCGTCCTGCCCCGCCGCCGCGATGAGGAGCCGCGCCGGGGGAACCGCGTCGGGCGCCGCGGGGCTCTGGCCCGGCCATGGTAAGGAGGAGGGGGAGCGGGCGGCGAGAAGGGGCAAAGCGGGGGCTCCGCTGAGATCGGTGACAAACTCGACCGGGCTCCGCTCCGGTGCGGGTTCGCCGTCCGTGTGCGCCCATGGGCATCGCCCCGGGGCTGCGCGGGGGGCGCGGGTGCGGGTGTAGTGCCCGGCATCCCGCGGGTGCGGGCGTGCGGCGGCGCCGGAGCCTGTGGGTGCCCTTGGAGGCAGCCCGAGGGAAGGTTGGTGCGGGTGTGATGTACAGACAGGTACAGGTGGAGCGGTTTTGTGCGGGTGTGAGCGAGCAGCATCTGCGACCGTCGGCTGCGGTGCCGCTGGGCTGCGCGACTCGGCGAAGTGCTGGAATGATCAGTACTGACCCGCGGGAAGGAGAGAAACGTGATTGCAGCTGGGAGGAAGCAACAGCCCGGTGGCATGGGGAAAGTCACCGGGCGGAGAGGCTCGTCGGGCTCTGCAGGAGTAGGAAACTTTGCTTAAGTGAGGATGAATGGCTGTCCCTGGAAGTGTTCAAAAAACAGTGTAGATGTGGCACTTGGGGACATGGTTAGTGGTGGCCTTGGCAGTGCTGGGGGAATGGTTGGACTCGATGATCCTAGAGGTCTTTTCCAACCTTAGCAATTCTATGATGATGGAAGGTATTTTCCAGGACTAGAGCTATGGGGATTCAGGCAGCTCTGTGCTCTGACACTTGTGTCCCAGCGTCCATAGTGCAAAGCCTTCCGGTCATATCCGAGCTCTCCAAGCTCTGTATCCGTTCCAAGCTCGCTGAGGTCAAGCATTTTGTTGCTGCTGAGCCTTGCTCAGACTTAGTCCAAAGCTGAGGGAAGTTTGCAGGAGTCCAGCTCATGTCTATGTGCTTTGATTCAGATGCTGGGAGTGGAGCAAGTTTGTGGATCCGATGGCAGGAAAGACAGAGATGTGTCTGTGAGTGAGAAACTAGTGTCACTTCCTCAAACCCCTGAGGCATCTTTCCTTGCTCCAAAACAAACTTCACACATAGAAACTTGATGGGAGGGTGAGTAATTAAACCATTACACAGCTGCAGTTTCTGCTGCTTCAGGGAGGCAAGGAAGGAGTCAGGTCCTGGTTTGCCAGGTTTAAGCTCCTAGACAGTGGTGGTAGTTGGTCAGGACTGTGCTTTGATGTGTGTGATGTCATTATGACTTCATTTCTTCTTAAAAATAAAATACTTTTCTTTTAATGGGAGTATTTCCATGTGTTTCTTGAAGGAGAACCATTTTCTCTTATCCCTGTTACTGCAGTTGACTGTTTTCACTTGGCAATGGCAAGGTGGAGTTTTTTAGAAGATTACTCGGATTTTGTCATTGTAGCAGGGGACAATGGATAGCCTGGCTGAGGTCAGTCTCTGGGGAGATATCTTGGGCTGTACAGCAGTCTGTGCAGCACCACTCTTTGGGGGAAGAGCAGTAGTGCAGGAGCCATAGGTTCCTCCACCCCTGCTCCCAGGCAACGGGGACCCCGGGACCCTGCATCGTTCCCACCAGGAAGGGGGACTGCTGTGATGGGCAAGGAGCAGCAGCAGCATTCCTCTCCTCTGAAGAGATCTTCACTGCTGCTTTTTTCCTCTCCCAGCCTGACCTTGGCACTGTCAGCACTGTCCAATAATGCCGTTGAAAAACAAACATATGAGTCAACCTGTGTGCTTGCTTAAATACTAAGTACTTATACACCAAGGTATGTTTAACTTATTTCCTTAAACAGGCTCTGACTGGGGATAGACATAAATACTTTAGTTTCCTCGGGACTTTGTAAACATTGATTTAAAAGTGAGAGGAGCAAGTGCTCTGACAGTGCTTCTTGGCTCATTAAAGCCTTCTAGGAAGTCTCCAAATTGTACATGCAGCTCCTCTGCACCAACTGTGTTCCTGTGAGTACCATCAGTGGTTCTCCCCCACCTCCTCCTCCCAGTCCTCTGGAGCCAGCTGGCATGTCTTGAGTTTTCCCCATTTGCTCCCCTTTTCCAGGTATTTCCTATCTCCAGGAAATCTGGAGACAGGTAGAACAAAGAAAAAGTGCCTGCCAGCATAAGTCTAAGCCCCTTGGGTGACAACTGTCTAGACCTGGTGGAAGGGGTTGCCAGGTGAATGCAGGGGAGACACAGCTTGACAGGGGACAGAGCAGGCAGAGGCTGTGTTATGAGTGGGGCTGAAGAGGAGGAACTGGGAATTCCTCACCTCTCCTATAAGGACACCTCAGGTTTGTCCTGCTTTCCACACTCCTCTGCTCCTGGAAACAGCAAGACACAGTGCCTGGGGGATGTAGAGAGCAGGGTGAGGACCACAGTGTCCTTTGTGGGGACTGACTGTGCTTCCTGCTGACTCCCACACTGTAGAAGCAGCAAACGAAGGGTGTGGAATGTGTGCCAAGAAGGTGCGAGGAGGCAACGTATTGCCTTGCACATCCAACTGTCACACTACACAATATGGAAATATTCCTTGTGGGTTTGTGTTTGAAACCACAGCTGTCATTTGAGGGAAAAGCAGGAAAGTGCCATCCTTCCAACACTTGCTGGTGTGCAGGAACAGAGAAGCAGAGTAGGGTTTAGGGCTGCTCTGTGCTTGGGTTGGTTCACAGAGGCACGAGTAGAAGTAATCTGAGTCATTTCACTGAGGAGCCACGCTGGTTTCAGCTGCCTGGGGATTTAGCACAAGGTCTCAAGTTGTGTCAGGGGAGGTACAAGTTGGACATGAGGAGGAATTCCTGCACAGAAAAGGTTGTCAAGCATTGGAAGGGGCTGCCCGGGGAGGTGGTGGAGTCCCCATCCCTGGAGGTGTTCAAGGAACGACTGGACGTGGCACTCAGTGCTCTGGTCTGGTTGACAAGGTCGGACTTGATTATCTTGGAGGTCTCTCCCAACCTAAATGATTCTGTGATTTTTTGATTCTATGACTGTAGTGCACATGGGTATAAATAGTGAGAACTCTGTGGCTGAATATCAGGGATGATGGTGTGCCAAGTCGATAGAGCTCATGTGTCAGGGCATGATGATCACTAAGCTCCTGAGGGTTAAAGAAAATCTTCCCTCATGGGAAAACTACTCATTAATTATCCACTTAGGGCTTCCCCAGCCCATTTGCTGAAAAAGACAGTAGTGAGTGTCAAGTTAGAGACCATCTTCTCTTCTGATGTTGTCATTCCTGTGCTTCATTCCTCACATAGCCTCTCAAAACCAATTTCCAAATCTAAAAAGACCTATACATCAAATAAAATGGTATTGATGTTTCTTTGTTGGCCTGGTTGGTTACTCTAGGAAGCTGAATTTGTTTTACACTGACTGTAAGGTTGCTGACTAGCAGGGGGACCTTTTCTACGTGCCCTGCACTGACCCCTAAAATTTTCACCCTCAGCCAGTGATGGCAACTGCTACCTTCAGGCCTGAACTTGTGGTCTGCACTTGCCCTCAGCTGTTGTAACATGTCATTCCTGCGCTGATCTAGGAAAAAAAAAAAGTGTTGCATCATTTCTTGTCATGAATGAATGAGCTCTAGGGTGGGAAAGAAGGGCAGTTCCTTCAGGTCTCCAGAGGACTGAATGCCAGCGTATTTTGTGCTCCTGTCTCCTGTGTGCAGGTAGGAATAAAGCCACAGGAAAGGTAAAATGCACATGTAGCTTAGGGCCAGCTGTGTGCGTGGGCATGTGTGGCTGCAGGTATTTGTCAGGGCAGGTGGCATTTAGTTGTGAAGAACCTTGTTGTGGTGCAGTTTATGGGCAAGAGGGGGACAGGGCTTCGTGGCTTTTGCATTTAGCCTCCTTGCACTTCTGTTTCCTGGGATTCCCTGCTGCACTGTTTTGTGGGCTGCCTTTATTCTGGAGGAGCTGGTGGTTGTCTGCATGATCTAACCTATGCCTCACCTGGGGCAGAGTGTGGGTTACCTCCCACTGGAGCCTTGATGATGAGGTCAGGAGATGGGAGAGGGATGAGCCAGATGCTTGTTCTCTCAGCTAACATGAAACCGAACCCAGTATTTTCGAAGCAGCTGACTTTAATCTGGTCTTGTTGTGTAATTCCATTTATTAGAACAAATAATCTAATTCGAGCCCCCCTCAACCCTGATGCGTTCGAGTGGCTGCAGACACAGGGGTTACAGGGAGAGACACAGCCAGCAGTGCACAGGGGAAAACAAACGACTCTGTAGGAAGGCAAATGGAACTTTGGCAATTTTACGTGATTAGGGAAACAATTAGAGAAAATAGCTGGAGGTGCATTTGCCCAGTGGATTCATGTGCTGGTGGAGATGGGTGGTGTGGTGGTACTTGCTCTCCAGGGTGAGAGTCATCCCTGAGCACAGGGCACAGTGGTGTCATGGTGCAGCAAAAGCTCAGCTGAGTCCTGTCACCAGACTGGGATGGGGAGATAAGGGTGAAAAGCTGCTTTCTCCCCTCTCCCCATGCACAGGGGATGCTGAGGTGTTATTCCCATGTCCTGGTGCAGACAGGAGGGTTTGCTTATTCACAGATGGTTTTACAGAGCCATGACTTGGTATTGTCTAATGCAGCAGGGGTTGAGTCTGGACCTGTTGCACAAAGTTGAGCAGGGAGATCATTTTCCTCTGTATTCTCCCCTTTGCTCCCAAGATGCCTGGATCTGTATTTCACAGAGCTGAGGCAGCAGTTCAGAGCCCTGCCTTCTGTGTATCTCATCCCCACCTACTCTACCTTGCCCTCATCCCTTCCATCTGTAAAGGTTCTCACCCCCACAGTATTGTTTAAAGTCAGTGAGTTTGTGTAGGCTCAACGCCTCTGACAATCAGGCCTGCATGGTCCCTCTCACACCCATTCCCACTGCCCCCCACGCTGCCACTGCCTTCTTCCCAAACTTGGTTCCTGCCTTCTGGTCCTGGCTGGGTGAGAGCCGAGTTCCACCACACGCTGTGGAGCTGAAGCCGTGTCGGTGGCTCCGTTCAGCAGCAGTGACTCAACTTACAGCACAGGCACAGGGCTGCTGCTGGGGACAGCACAGCAG